GCTACTCGGAAGGCTGAGGCGGAAGGATCGCCGGAGCCCAGCAGGCCGAGGCTGTGGTGGCCGGGAGCGGCCACTACACTCCAGTCTGGGTGACAGAGTGAGACTCCAACTCAAAAAAAAAAAAAAAAATGTAAGTTACATCATACATTCATTTCCTAAACCCCTCCAGGCAATTCCTTTTGTACTTGTAATGTAAATGCTTGGCTCAGACCTACAAGGCCCTGCATGCTTTTTCCCCTGCCCACCTTCCCAGCCTCCTCTGGTACTGTTCCCTCCTTTCCCCAGTGCTCCGCCTTCTGCCAGTGTCCTGCCACACTGCTCTGGTTGCTTTTCTCATCCTCAAACATGCCCACTGAGTGTGGTAAGGGCAGGAATACAGAAAAAAGGAAAGAGGATCGAGAGAATTGTGAAGGTTCAATAATAGGCTTAGACAGGGAAGTCTTTTCAATATGTTAAAATGTTTCTAAATTGCTATCTCTACCAGTTAATATGTTGATATATTAATATGCTGATATTTATATATAGATATAGGAAAAATTGATTTTATAATCAATATTAGTGCCCTCATCTTGTAGTGTAGCGAAGTCTGGAAGGATTTGCCAAATTATGAAGGAAATATAAAAGTAGTTTAGTTTCATCCCGATGTCAGGTACTGTTATTGATTTTTCCCAGTCAGTCTGGTAGGCACAGTGGAACTGAATGAACATGGCCGGAAAGACTAGATGCAGAGTGTGAACTTGTCTGTGTTGCACCAGGATATGGATAGAATCAATGACTGATTCTCATTGTCTTCATTTAATTTTAGGAAAGATGATGACCATATTCATTGGGTTTTGTCTTTTTAAAAGATTATCTGTGAGTGCTAATTTTTTTATATTTGAAATATGAAGTATACCATATGATTTGGTAATAAAATTGCTGTTTGGAATTTTATGGAATGTGAAAATTTTGTACCTCAGGATCCTCATCATAATGAGAAAGAAGGAAACATTTTAAATATGGTTTGTTTACAAAAATGAATTGGGTTTGAGGCAAAGGGGTTCTTAGAGATTTAGGACTTCTGGGTTTAAGTAAAGGGGCAATGAGTTTTTGTTTTCTTGCCTTGTTTTCATTTTGACTATCTCTAGCTCTGACTTTCACAGTAACAGGCTATTATTTTATAAATATAGTATCTCTCATTTTGGACACTATTTGCTAATTAGGAAGCCTCTTATTTAGGATAGTCTGCAGAGGAGAGGTCATGAGGGTGGATGAAGGAGTGCTCCTCATGGCCTCTCAGCTTCCCCCTACCTTGTAAAGATCTCCCAGGGAGCAGAGAAAGGTTTCCTACCTACCTTAAGCCCCATGATATATGAAGGTGCCCTTCCTGTCCTAAGGGGAAACTAGTCTGCCCTCATGAAGGGTAAGGGGCCAAGACAGACACGCCCTACCTCTCTCTTGGCACTCACAGCCAGGGGCTTTAGCAAATAACCTTATTTTCATACTTTGAAACACTCTGATGGGTAAGTACAGAGAGCTAGGAAAACAGAGAAACAGATGCCCTCTGAGATTGGCAGGGAAGGACACCAGGTTGAGACTGCACAAAAAGATGATCAGGCGTTCATTGGGGGAATGTGTCTAGGTTAGTGGCATGGGAAGGGGTAAGGGAGAATACCCCCAGGGAGCTGGCATCATCTCCCACACTAGCTCAGATTCTGCCCACAGTGGCTACCATGGCAGAAAACCTTCTGAGCAACTCTACTGCAGCCTGAACTCCAGTAGCAGAGCACATCTCTTACAGAGACTCACATCTCCCAGCGTCTGCTAATAGCAGATGCACTGTTGAAGCATGACTCCAGTCCCTTGGCACCTATTGCTGGTTATTTTCTTGGTTCTTCCAGCTCTTCTGTTGCCTCTCTCTGAGTTACCTCCTTTTCAGGGCAGTGTCTTCCTTGAAAGGAAAGCTGCCTGCAGGGAACATTTCTTGTCCCCTGGAGTATGCCTCCATGGATTTTAGGGAAAGGTTGTGAACATCTTCCAAGAATCTTCCCAGGTGTGGTCAGCAACTCTAGACTTGAGAAACTGACTTTTCCCCCTGCCTTCTTGACCCTGTGTCATCTCTACACACGTCTCATCTGTCCTAGCTAGGACACAGCTTGAAGGCACATTCTCTGTTTTTTCCTTGGTCCCTTGCACACTGACTTTGCACAGATCTGGCACTCAGAAATTGTTGACAGATTCTGCAAATCCAAATGCCTTTGCAAAGCCAAGGCTCAGTTTTAGGAATGTGAAATAAAAGAGATGCCTTATTCACTCATTCATCCATTTAACCAACCAAAAACAGTTTTTGAGGACTCTGTTTAGCTACACAGCTGAAACATCAAGCCCAGTTCGTGGTAAGTTCACAATCGGTGCTGGTTAGTATAGAAGAAGTGAAACACAAACTCTGGTTCCCTTTGTGTTCGTGTCACACTCTTTTCCAGAAGCCCCAGGATTTCATTCTTCTGTGGTTTAGGAGTGACAGTCCAGGGTTCCTGGCTCTGATTGTGTCTGCTTCTCCTCAGAGAGGCAGAGCTCCCATAGGTGGGCAACCTTATTTTCTGCACTTGCAGATTGAGCTCTCACATTTTAGAGTGCCTAAGGACAGCTCACTTGTTTGCACACAACCAACATGAACACGAAATGACAGGGAGCAGCTGAACTTCAAGGCAGTCTAAGTAGTTTTTTTAAAAATTGGCAAATTAATGAAAATAGTCATTTGGAGCACCTAGATTGCTACTCTGAAAAAAGG